CAATGGCCGCAGGGTCCTCACCAAGAACACCAAGTTCATGTGGGACATGATCCAGGAGGTGTGGGCCTTTACGCCCTAGGAGCACCATGCCAGGGTGCTGCTCAAGGTCAAGTTCATCAAGAAAAGGCTGGGTCAGAACCATCAAGTTCATCAGAGACAAACTGGGATCAAGCTTAGACGGCATACTCTGTCTATGGTATAAAGAGATTGTCAAATACAGCCAGAAATGCACAATCTGGAGAGGACAAAATTGATGACCAGGACCTCCTAAAGATTAAGTCCCTGTGCACATCAAAAACATTTTCCAACAGAGTAAAAAGAAGACCTACTGATTGGAAAAAAATATTTGGCAATACCATTTCAGACAAGGGTCTCATATAAAAAATTTACAGAATCCTACAGGGCCTCCCAAGAAAAAGAATGATAATACAGTTACAAAATAGGCAAAAGACATGGAAAGAATTTTCAAAGAGGGAGATATTCAGATAAGAATTTTCACAGAGGAATTTATTCAGATGGCCAACAGACATATGAAGAAATGCTCATAATCACTGCCAATCAGAAAGATGCAAATCCAAACAATGAGATACCATCTCACCCCAGTAGTAGTGGCAAAGTTTAACAGTATAGCAAGTAATAAATATGGGAAAGGATGTGGAGAGATAAGAATTCTTAGACTTTGTTGGTGGGAAAGCAGTTTGGCATTTCCTCAGAACGCTGAACATAGAAATTCTGTATGACCCAGCTATTCCACTGCTTGGAATATGTTGTTGTTGTTGTTGTTGTTGCTGATTGCTTTCAAGTTGAGCACGACTGATAGTGACCCTATTCACAAAGGCCTGAAGCCCCTCTACAATTATTGACATTTATCAAAGTTCTTAAGAGTTTCCAGGGGCAAGTTGTTTAGGAAGTGGATGCCACTCCTGCTTCCAAATCTGTCATAGAATGTTGTTGGTGAGTTGCCTGCGATGCATAGTGACCCTATGTACATCAGCTCTGAATCCTTCCCTGTCCTGAGCCAGTCTAATTCTGACACCCAAACCCCATTGTCCCAGTTACTGTATCAATTAATCTCATCCAGAGTCTCCCTCTCCTGCGCTGTCTGTCCACCCTTCTGAGCATGATGTCCTTCTCCAAGGACCGATCTCTCCTGGCCGCATGCCCAAAAATAAGTGAGGTGGATCTTCAAAATCCTAGCCTCCAAGGTGAGACTTGGTTTCACCCTCTCCAAGATAGACCTATTTGTTTTCTTGGCAGTCCATGGTATGTTCAAGACTCTTCTTCAGCACCACAACTCGTAGGCATCTATTCTCCTTCTGTCATCCTAAGCCATTTTCTAACTTTCTGAAGCATAACAAGCAACGAGAAAACCATGGCCTGGATCAGGCACACCTTTGTATTTAGACTGATGATTGTTGCTCTTCAGCACTCTGGAAAGGTTCATGATTTTCTCAATGCAATTAGTCTTTTGATCTCCTGACTGCTGGTGTTGAGAGTGTTGATTGTGGATCCAAGCAAGCTGTCATTGCTAACAACCTCAATTTCTTCTCCATCTATTATGGTGCTGTCAATTGGCCCAGAGGTGAGAATCATTGTCTTCTTGATATTGAGCTTCAATCCATATTAAAGACTATAGTCCTGGACCTTTTGCATCAAGTGCTTCAGGTCTTCTTCAGTTTCAGTACGCAAGGTTGTGTCATCTGCATATTGTAGGTTGTTGTAGAGTCAATATACCCCAAGAAAATGAGAACTGAGGCACAGAGACTTGTACTCCAATGTTCACAGCAGCATTATTCACCATCGTAAGAACATGGCAACAGTCCAAATGTCCAACCACAATCAAATGGATTGAGAAATTATGGTACATTCACATGATGGAATACTATGCAGTGTGTAGGAGCAATGATTTTGAAAATCACTACCCAACTTGGGAGGGACTGGACAGTATTAATGCTAAGTGAACTTAGTCCCATAAGAACAAACACTGTATAAGACCATTGGTGTAGAAATAGATAACTAGTAAAATGTGTATGAGGATCCAAGCTGGGAAGGGAGGAGCCGAGGGGTGAGGAGGGGCAAGAGGGTAATCAATCATAGGGCCGCACAATTCGGTAGGTAGAGGGACGGGTGGGTAAAGGAAATGGGAAAGATCTGGTGTGAATAACAATGTGTACCAACTCTGTAATCAAACCAATATAAAATAAAAATTTTATGTAAGGAAAATAAATTCTTGAGGAAGTGAGGTCTCCTCCACATCCTGGCTGCTATGAGGAGAGCAGCTGCCAAAAAGGACCAAGCGCTCCGTCCCTGCCCAAAGCCCTCACCCATCTGACATAATAAAATGTAATAAACAAAACCCTAAACTTCAAGCTTGGGATGAACTATTGCTTTAAAATTCCAATCCTCTTCCTCATCAGTATGCTCTAGAAATAGAGGATTTAATGGTCTGGTTTAGCCTGATGTCAATGAACCAAACTTCACCTTCAGTTCAGTGAGGAAGGAACACAGAGGTCATGTCTGATTAACAGGTCTCTTCTCAACAGAGACCCCCAGGCAAACGGATTGCTTACCCTAAAAGCCCTCAGAAAACAAGAAGCATGCCAACAAGCCAATGAGTCTGCATGCACACTCCCAGCCCTCCCCTTTGTACACACTTGGGAATTTTTTTTCCCCACACTGGATTTGTCATCAATAACTACTTATCAAATCTGCCAATGTTGACTATGTAAGATCCCCTCCAGCACCTGTCCCTTAGGACTTTGCCTCCTCTTATCGTTCTCTGTACTCGGGCAGAATCACAGGCAAGCAGAGATGGTCATGAGTGATGGGGTCCTGGTTCTTAGAAGTAGATACGCTAAAGATATTTTTTGCTATCATTAGTGAATGAAAAGCAAGAGTCAAAAGAAATAAAAACCCTTGCAATTCAACATTTTCCTTTTGAGGGCAAGGAGAGCGTGCTAATAAATATTGAGTTGCTGATTAACACACATGACTAATGCATTAGACTGCTAACTCAAAGGTTACAGGTTTGAGTCCAGCTACAGTGTGTTGGAAGAAAGGCCTGGTGATCTATAAACATCCTTCATTTGATAGAGCTTTGTAGACATCATTTTTTCTTACAAATTGAAGGTTTATGGTTATTTTGTGTCCAAAAAGTATATTGGCATCATTTTCCCAGCAGCTTATGTTCATGTCATTGTCTCTGTGTCACATTTTGGTAATTCTTAAAATACTGCAAGCTTTTCATAATGCTATTGCACACTTGATAGTTGGGGGGAAATTGATAATAGGCAACATAATGATAGTTGGAGAAAGGATTGACATTGTCAACAAGTTCATTTTGCTCGGACCCACTATCAACACCCTTGGCAACAGCAGTCAAGAAATCAAAAGAAGGGTGGGTGGGGAGAAAAGTGCAACAATGAATGAATGGAATTCCAAAATCTCTGTAGATGTTCATTGAAATAAAAAAAAAAAGAAAGAAATTAAAAGTATTTCATTAGGAAAATCTGCTGTCAAGGACCACTCCAAAGCGCTAAAGAGCAAGAACATTGAAGACTAAAGTGCATCTGATGCAAGCCATGGTATTTTCAATTGCTTCCTATGCACCTGATGGGAGGATGGGCTCTGAAAACCCACCAGAGGATCAGCTATGGGTCGGTTCTGACTCAACGATATTCAAAAACAACAATAAAAACATGCATCTGAAAGTTGGACATATATAATAAGGAAGATCAAAGAAAGATCAGTCCTTTTGAATTGTGGTGTTTGTGAAGCATACTGACTCTCCCATGGACTGTCAAAAGAATAAACAAAACTGTCTTGGAGGAAATGCAACCAGCATAGTCATCAGAGGCGAGGATAGTCAAACTTCACCTCACATACTTTGGGCATGTTGCTAGGAAGAACCAGTTCTTGGAAAAGGACGTCATGCTGGGAAGGGTCGCGGGTCAGAGAAAGAGGAAAACCCTCAATAAGACGGACGGACATACTGACTGTAGCAATGGGGCATGTGGGAGAGGTGCAGATGTTGCAGGATTGGGCAAGGTTCAGATCTATTATTGTTCATGGTATTGTTGAGATATAGTTGACTTGATGGCAGCTACCACCACCACCACCGCACACTTAACATGCCATTCATGCATTTCTCTCAAGTCAGAGCTGACTCTAGTGAGTTTTGGAGGCTGTAAATCACACGAAAGCAAGTTACCCATCTTTTTCCTCACAGAGCTGCTGGCAGATTCACACTGCTAGGGGCGCTGACTTTGAGTTAGCATCACAACTCTCTGCAGAGACTACAGAATAAACACAACTTCTGTATGCATTGGGAGGCGAAAAAAAATGTGACTCACTTTGATATTCACTTTATTGCAGCATCTCCAAGGTATGTCTGCACTCCCATCCCACCAGCCACTGAAGATGTCAAGGAGCACAGTCCTACTCTAAAACACAAGGGATCACGATGAGTCAGAGTCAACATAGGGTAATTTCCTTTTTCAAAGAAATATTAAAGGACTTCAATAGAGCTAACAGAGCCTTGATGGTGCAGTGTATTATGCACCGGGCTGCTAACTCAAAGGCTGGTGGTTCAAATACAGCAGCTAATCTTCTATCAGGTGATTCACAGCCTTGGAAATCCGATGGAGAATTTGGGTCAGAACTGACTTGATGGCAGTGGGTTTGTGTGTGCATGTGAGTGTATTTAATGTACCACAGCACTACTTCAAATAGCTGGATATTTTTAGCAGATAATTTCCACAATGACTAGTAAGTGCTCTAAAATCAGCTCTCCCAAATGAGACAAACAAGTCCTTTTTTGCGAGGATGTAATTTTTATAAATGACATTAGTCAATGAGTGTGTCTGTCAATGGGTTTCATCAAAATCCAAAAGCAGTTCAAAGATAAAATTGCCACCACCCTTAGTCTTGCGTGCAGGACGTCAAGTGCACGCCTGAGGAGGACTGTGTCTGAGTCTGCTGGGTGAAGGCAGAGTGCTGTCCTACATCCCCTCCGGGGGTCTTAACTGTAACTCCCGCTCCAGCTGCTCCGCAGTCAGGGTGCCCTGGATGGCTTCGCAGCCCGGGTTGAACACGGAATAGGCACTCTTCTCTCCCGCCTTCTTCTCATCAGGGTTTCGGGTCCCAACATACATCCAGTAGAACAGGGACAGGACAAAATAAGCCAGACCAAATTCCAGTTCCACAAACAGTCCCAGGAGGACCAACCAGAGAAGAACCTTCAAGAAGGTGATATTGGTGAGGAGAGATTGGTTCTGGGGTGGCGACGAAGGAATGTCTTTATCCTGCGGTGGCTGTGATGGGCTGTCCCCAGGCTGAGCCGCTTCCTACGACAAATAAGCAAACAGAAATCAGGGTAATGGAGCCGAATCTGAAGAGGCAGTTCCCGCTGCTCATGTTCACTGATTTCTATTTTCTTAACCCCCTCTCTAAAGCAATCATCTCCAAAGGGCGTGTATGTCTCCTCCAGCTGCATCGCAACTGATCAGCACTTAGTGAGATGTGACCCAATAAAAACCCTACGGCACTCAGAAGGATTCCTGTTCACAGGAGACATTTCCTCAGATTAGTCTGCTGTTAACAAGGGCTCATTTGAGACCCATATAGAAACTCCTCTACAACTGATAATGCAACAGCCACAACATCTGCTTCCCATACAGAGTCAGTGTTAATTGTGGATTTGATTCGTTGAGCTAAGACTCTGTGAGTGACATGATTATAAAATTGGAATAAAAATTCCATTCATATTTGGCGGGTTTTTAAAAAAAAGTCATTGTTGTAATGATTCCTAGGATGTCTTACCTTTTCTTTCCTTGCAAATACCCTACGCAGGCCTTCACAGTCATACTAGCAGAGTCCAAGCATTGTCCTAACTGGTTTCTCCCCTTTCCAAACCATCCCACAAGTTGTTGTGTGGTGTTGGGTGCTGTTAATCATGACTCACATCAACCTCAAGTGACGAAGAACTGCCCCATACATTTTTCTTGACTGTAGCCTCTCAGCAAACAGATCCTCATGTCCTTTCTTTCCCAGAGCTGCTAGGTGCAAAGTACTTAAACTGCTGTACCATTTGAATTTCTTTATTTCATCTTCCATACAACTACTAAATCATCCTAAAACACTCCTCACAAACCTTCAACAAAGGTTTTGATTGTCTAAAGTTAAAATCCAGACTCCTTGGGCTGGACTCTGGGGCCTTTTATTTCATTAGTAAATAGAAATGTCAGTCTTCAGACCCGTGTGCTGAGTGCTACTGGGAGACACAAGTGTTTGTGAACCCAGAGGTGGGGCGTTGGAATCCAACAAGTGCTCCAAGGGAGAAGGACAGGCAGTCTCTCCCCTGAAGATTTACAGCCTCAGAAGCTCGATGGAGCGTCTCTGTGAGCTAGAAAAGACTCAATGGCAGGGGTGGCAGCATGACGTCTAGTCAGCCAAGACCAATGAGGAGAAATAAATTTTAAACTGTGATTCCACATACATATATATCTGAATAGAAAGTTCGTACGATAGTTATCCAACTACATACAATGTTGTGAGTGACAGGATAATAACCATATGCATACAAGGAAATCCAGTGAATAACATCATCATTCAAATATAGTCACCAACAACCAGAGCCAAAGAGGAGAAAATTGAAGATTTCTACCAACTTTTGCAGTCAGAGATTGATCGAACATGCAATCAAGATGCATAAATAATAATGGGTGACTGGAATGCAAAAGTTGGGAACAGAGAAGAAGGATTAGTAGTTGGAAAACAGACTTGGTGACAGAAATGAAGCTGGTGATAAAATGATAGAATTTTGCACAATCAACGACGTATTCATTGCAAACAGATTTAATAAGAAACATAAACACAGGCTATACACAGGGATTTCACCTGATGGTGTGCATAGGAATCATACTGATTACATTTGTGGAAAGAATTGCTAGAAAAGCTCAATATCAGCTGTGAAAATTAGGCCAGCCGATTGTGGAACAGACCACAACTACTCCTATTCAAGTTCAAGCTGAAGCTGAGAAAAATTAAATCAAGTCCACAAGAACCAAAATTTGACCTTGAGTCTATCCCACCTGAATTTCAAAACCGTCTCAGGAACAGGTTTGAGGCCTTAAACACTACTGAATGCAGACGAGATGAGCTGCGGGAAGATAGCAAGAACATCATCCAGGAAGAGTGAAAAAGGTCATTGCAAAGACAGAGGAGGAAGACAAGACCAAGATGGATGTCAGAAGAAACTCTGAATATTGCACTAGAGTGCCGAGAAGCCAAAGCAAAGGGAAGAAATCAAGATATTAAGGAGTTGAACAGAAAATTCCAAAGGGCAGTACAGGAAGAAAAAGTATTACAATGAAATGTGCAAGGAGCTAGAATCAGAAAATCGAAAGAGCCGAATTCGACCAGCATATCTTAAGCTGAAGGAATTGAAGAACAAATTCAAACCTTGAGTTGCATTACTTAAGGATGCTTTGGGCAGAATATGAAATGATCCAGGAAAAATTAAAAGAAGATGGAAAGAGTATAGAGTCACTGTACCAGAAGGAATTGGTGGGCCCAGAAGAATTTCATGAAACAACATATAAGCAAGAGCCTGTGGTGATGAAGGAAGAAGTTCAAGCTGCTAACAGTGAGGAGGACGTGAAGCACTTGGTGCAGAAGGTCAAGGACTGCAGCCTTCAATATGGACTGAAGTTCAACATCAAGAAAACAAAGATTCTCACCACTGGAATGATTGTCAGCATCATGACAGATGGTGAAGAGATTGAGATTATTAACAGCTTCAGTTTGCGTGGCTCCACAATCAATATTCTTGGTACCAACAGCCAGGAAATTAAAAGACAAAGTCTGCTGTCAGAGACCTCTGCAAAGTACTGAAGAGCAACAATGTCAGTTTGGAGACTAAGGTGCACCTGACCTGATACAGGCCATGGTCTTTGCAATCACTTGCTATGCATCAGAAAGCTGGGCAATAACTAGAGATGATAGGAAATTGATGCCTTTGAGCTGTGGTGCTGAAGAAGAGTACTGAATATACCATAGACTGCTAGGAGAAGAAACAAGTTCTTCCTGGAGAGGGTGAAGCCAGGCTGCTCCTTGTAGGCAAGGATTCTGAAGTTTTGTCTGACATATTTTGGACATGCTGCAAGGTGGCATCAGTCCTTGGAGAGGAATGTCATGCTTGGGAGGGTGGAGGGACAGAGCATGAGGGGAAGATCCTCAATGAGGTGGACTGATTCAGTGACTGGGGTAATGGGGATAAGTGTGTCGGAGACAATAAGATAGGGTTTAGGGCTGTTGTACACCAGGGTCACTATGAATCACAGGCAACTCGACAGCACATAACAACAACACATGAAACATTCATATTGTCTGTTCTTTGCTAGTTCTTAAAAAAATATATAACAAGAAGCAAGACCTTCGGTGGTTTTAAAGGTTTATCGTTCAAATGGCTTTCCTCTCCTTATTCACTCTGCCATGTGGATGACCAGGAATATGTGAATAGGATGTGTTAGCCTATCCACAAGGGAACTGGGCAGTCTCACCAATCCACAAGTCTCGCCATTAAATTGAGCTGGTCCTGCAACAAATTTGGAGGATCTTCCCCACCAGCAAAGAAGAAGCAAGAGAATGTGGTTGTTCCTTTAAAGCCAGGGATTCTTGGACCAGCCAGACCAGGGCCTATGGGAGTAGCAGCCACAGCAGAGAACCAGAGACCTGACATGAGCTGGGGCCTTGGGACTGCTACAAGACAGAACAGGAGATAAAAGCCTTTGCCCAGGTTTGCTGGACAACTGGGATTGGGAGTGTTGGGGGAAGAGGCAAAATTGGCAAGACTGAGGGCATGTAACACTGGCCTAAAGCCACAAGGCTCATGGCTGAGGTGCCTGCAAGCACATTTCGGAAGCTGTCCTGACTGTATGCTGCTACTAACCTGGACTTCCCCAATACAGCTCTATGTGGTCTGGGAGCTACTGCATCGGATTTTGAATGCAATAAAGCAGTAAGATTGGTGTTGGAATGCATAAAAAGAGGTAAGAGAGGGGGGAGGGTTGGGAGGGGAGAAAAGTGCAACAATGAATGCATGGAAATCCAAAGTCTCTGTAAATTTTCATTGAAATTAATATTAAAAAAACAATTTAAAAAAAAAAAAGAGGTAGGAGAGTATGGGGGCCATATTCCTGATGTCCCTGAGTTGTTGATGGGAACAATTACCTCTTGTAAAATTGGTAAAAATCAGATATGGCCCTTGCTCTTTTTTACACCCTCAAAAGGGAATTTACCATCTGCTAATGAGTCTGGTGGTCTAGTGATTAAGAAGCTGTGCTGCCAACTCAAAGACAGGCAGTTCAAATCCACCACCTACTCCAAGAAAAAAAGATGAGCAATCTCTTCTCATAAGAATCAAAGCCTCTGATAACTTGCTGGAGGGTCCACTATGAATTTGTTCCGATTCAATGGCAACATGTTATTGTTTGCAGCTTGAAAAGCACTGATCTAGGGAGCTCTGGTGGCCTAGTGGCAAGAAGCCTGCACTGCAATCCCAGAGGTATGTGGTTCGAATCCACCAGATGCTCTGCTGGAGAAGGAGGGGTAATCTCCTGCTGTACCAGTCAGATTCAATTTGACAGTACACACAAAAAATGATAAAATAAAAATAAAATTAAAAAAAAGAAAAGCACTGATCTAAAAGATCCCATGTACATTACAGTACATAAATCTACTGTTCCATAAACGAACCCTCTCGTTAACCAGTGAGCAGTTGTTGTGGATTTGTGCCAACTCCTAGTGATCCACGTGGAGTAGAACTGAGCTCCACAGAGCTTTCTTTGAGTGATTTTTATTTTTTTTAGAAACAGGCTACCATGTCTTCCTCTGTAGTTACCTCTGGTGGATTCAACCTGATAACCTTTCCATTAGTGGCTGAGCAAGTTAACTGTCTGCACCCTTTCTCTAATTACACTGGTCCTATTACCCAAAGACATTCCCATCTGCAGCTGCTTCTATCTCCTGTTACTGAATTCCTTGCCTGCCTTCCATGCAAACATCGTTCATGAATTAGGTACTATCTCCTTAGCCATCAAAGAAGGCACCCTTGTCTGCTTCACAGAATACTAACTAACTCTCTTACTCACAGATCACCAAACCTCAGTGCTGAAACATCTCTTTTTCACATACATTGTTGCTGTTGTTGTTAGGTGCCATCAAGCTGACTATCACTGGTAACGCCCCTGTGGACAGCAGACGTGAATTCTGGTCTTTCCTGCACCGTCCTCCCAATCTCTGATCTGCCTGAGCCCATAGTTACCGTGTCAATCCATTTTCCTGA